CAAGAAGCCATTTCCTGTAGCCACATTGCAGTTGTAGGACTGTCCATACTTTTCCATCTCAAAGCAATACTCTCCTAGTTTGAAGCATAGACAGGTTGATCAAAGGTGCTGTTTTGCGGTTTGGTACAAAGTGATTAGTATAGATAGCTAATATACAGAATTTTGCCTAAAGAGGGACCTCTATGGCAGCTATACGTGAGACCAGGTTAACTGTATTCTTCCAAAACAACTGAATTTTTGGGCATTCCCACATACAGTGCAACAGTGTGCCAACATTAACATTTCATTTAGGACAATCTGTGTTTGTGCATTTAAGCAAGTATTTTCCTACTCATCCTCAGTGATATCTACTCGTAGATTGTCTCTGCAGGCATAAGGTCTTGAATGTGAGGTGTCTTTGGATTTGGATCTCAGCATAGTATACTAAAGTGCCATTTGTCTTCGACTATCTTCACTATTTACAGTGATTCTCTCTGTATCTGAGAGGGACGGCTCCTCTAAGCTGTGGGTCTGTGATGTTATAAAGCTTCTTAACTGTAAATACTTAAAGTAGTGTTTTCTAGGAATGGCATATCTATGAACCAGCTGATCAAAAGTCATTAGTCTCCCTTCTACATATAAATCAGCTATTTTGCCCAAACCTCTGTCCGCCCATTGTTTGAATCCACCATCAGTTCTACCAGGAACAAAGCTATCATTTCCCCATATCGGGGAGAATTGGGAGAGTTTGGGTGCATCCCCCGTAAAGCATGTGCTTCATGCCAAACAGAGAGGGTATTTTTAACAAATGGATTTTTCGTCTGTTTCTTGAGTGTCTTAATATGAGCAGAATACATATATGATTGAAGAAGTAAACCGTATGTTGCAGTGAATTCGATTGCTATCCATGATGGGGGGTCAGAGGAGAAGTAAAACATAGCCATGCGCAGCTGTGCTGCCCAATAGTTCCATTGTAGGTTAGGTAGTTGAAGCCCCCCTCTATCGTAGGGAAGGTACAGTAAAGAGAGCTGCAGTCTTGGACGCCTGTTATTCCATATAAAATTTGAGAAGAATTTTCTAAGTTTACAAAAAAATGTATGTGAAAGTGGGAGAGGGATCGATTGAAATAAATAAAGGGATTTAGGGAGGATTGACATTTTAATTATATTAATATGGCCTACATAGATATTGGCATTGGCATCCACCTACTCAAAGATTCGCTGGTGGACTGTCTCCTGTTTTAATACCAGAGATTTTGGATGCTGCCGGATGGCCAAGGCCAGGGGTTCAGTAGCAAACAAAAATAAAAAGAGGCGACAAAGGATAATCTTGTCGCGTGCCTCGGTAAAGACTAAAGGTTTGTGATATGAGGTTGTTCATTATTATTTCTGCTGTTGGTTCTGTATATAAAAGTTTCACCCATTTAAGGTACTTTTCTCTCATCCCAAACCTTGCCAGGACCTCCATCAAATATTTCCAGTCAATCCTGTCGAAGGCCTTTTCGGTGGCCAATGAAAGGATTGCATTATTTTTGGCATCCCGCCTTTCATGTAATATATTCAATACTCTACGTATATTATGAAATGCCTGATGCCCAAGAACAAAACCATTCTGATCGTAAGAAATTAGGGATGGAACACATATCTGTAGTCTCATACCTAAAGCCTTGTATAATATCTTTGTGTCGCAGCACATAGGGAGCGACAAGAGTACCTTTCTATTGGTGACTTGCCAGGCTTTGGCACCAAGGTAATTAGTGCAGACCATAAGGATGGGGACAGGATTCCTGATTCATATGCCTCTTCTAACATTTCTAGCAGTGGAGGGAACAATTTTTCTGGAAAAAATGTATACATCTGAATGGGAATCCCATCTGGCCCTGGGGTTTTTCCACTTCTCATGCTCCGCACAGCTTCTAACATTTCCTTAACTGTAAAAAGTTTATCCAGTTCAGTCTTATCTTGATCTGCTATAGTCGGGATATCTAATTGGTCTAAGAATTCAGTCTGTGACTGCGTGGTCTCTGGATATTCTGATTGATAAAGGGATTCATA